TGGCACCTTCTTAAGCAGTATAAGAACTTTGATACTAGTCATCCTCTACCCTGTGTGTTTCTAATGCTGTGAATGTTAAGATATCTCTAATAGCACAGATACTGGATAAAGCTAACATCTACCAAAAAGATTTCAGTTATCGGCACCTTCATACTTCATTTGCTTTTTACTTTCTTTCCTTTTCTTTTTCTTTCTCTTCATGCTAATCATTATCTGGCTATGAAAGGATGTCGGCTCATCATTGGGGGAAGGCTTTTGCGAAAAGGTGGGTTTTGCATTGTGTTCCAAATATAGTTGGTCTTAGGCTTGGTCCCTCCCTCACAGTAAGGTCTCTCACAAAGGGAGATGGCTTACTCCATTTCCTTCTGGGTTGAGTAATACCAGGGTGGGGCTGGGGGGAGGAGGAGGAAAATGCCCTCTTTTTTTTTTAAATGAGGGAGGTTGTCTTGTTGGTTTGAAAATGGATAGTTTTTTAGGAAACCCTCCTACTGTGTGCAAAAAAAAATCCCTTTAAAGTATTTAAAAGATTCTGAAATAGAACCTGATACATGCCAAGATATGGAAGAAAGTGCTGTCTTGTCATGAGTGGATTTCAGGAGACTTTTCTTTTAAAAGAGATGGTGACTGTGGCTAGCCTGAAGCTGCACAAAGTACTTGGTCTCCTTGCTTCAGTTCCCTGTCTGCAGTATAATGGTCTTTCTTTGGGTGAAGACAGGTATTTTGGGAATCCCTCAGCCATGGTGAGTGTCATGAATGAGCATGAATGCATATCCAGGAGAATACAGCTCACCTACCACAATGTATGGAAACGTACTACAAATAAACACATGCTTGTTTTAAATCTTATGTTTTTAAGACAAACCCCGTTTCTTATTGAAGCCATATAAATGTGGACCTGGGAAAGAAGCCTGAAACTGAACGGAATCTTTGGGGGTCAGGGAGGCAAAATCTGCAGAGTTGAGGATCTGCTTGGGAAAAGACAAATGATTCGCCTCTTGGTTTAGCGAGTGGGGGATGCTCTGGACTGAGATTGGAGCTGTTAATCTGTTTGCTGAGGAAACTACCCTGGAAGTAGCCGAGTATAGCCAAATGCTCTACAAGCCAGTGCGTGACTTGAACTTTTCCTGGACCATCTATATGTTTGCTTTTTGCCTACACCATTTAGCTTCCCATCTACCTATCATGGCTTCTTGAAAATGATTTGGGTGGGAGAAACACTTTTACTCAGTTTTGAGTTTATGCCTTTTAGTGCTGTATGCTACCAAGCCCTCTTCTTCCTTCATTTCCATAAGCAAAAGAAAATCCATGTTGAAACTGAGAAGCTGTTTTCTGCAGTTTTTAGAAAGCTTGTGTTCTGTTCAATGTAATAGTCTTGTATTTGACAGAGGAAGGACTTGCTGATAGATTTACTTACGTGAAGTGAAATAAAGTCCAAACTAGATACGGTTGCAAATGGACAGATTTCTACAGTGTGAAACACAGCTATGAGCAAGTCATTTGGAGAGAACTGGACTGCTTAACAACATACAGCTTGATACTCAAAAACCACAGCTGAAAAAGGTCATATTCTTGAAAAGAAATAATCTGGGTTAGGGTGGAAATGCAAACCTCTGTACAAGGAGATTGTGTTAAATTTGTCAGTGCTAGTCCAGATAAGTTCGCAGCTGTTAATTCCTCCCTTTAAGTGCAAAGCTAGAAAGCATGAAAAAAATTATAGGACACGAGAAGTCTTTCGTCAACAGGGAACAGTGAAGCTCTCAAGATATATTAACTGGGGTGGTTTACTATGTGGAATAGAATTTGTTAGTATAACAATCTTTCTTTTACCTAATATTGTTTATATAAAGTAGGATATGCGTAAGATCAGAACCTATACTCAGGTTCTCTGGTCTGGGAATACGTGGTACTCAGTGCACACATCTCAACTGCCTCATAAGCTAGCTCAGGTCTAACACAGTGTATTTGTTCAAGCATAAGACAGCACAGATGCAGATGCTCTGTTTTCAGTCAGCTGTGTGGTTCAAAAGCAAGCTACTTGTTGAATCTGTCTGCTAGAGAGCCTAAGCTAATAAGCGCTGCTTGGAGGTAGGCTGGCTCTTGCTGAAGCCAGCTTGTGTGTCTGTGCCACGGATCCCGCTGTGAAAGGGCTATAGTCTAAATAGTTCTGATATACTTCTCTTTCCGAGGTAGGTTACCAGCTCAGTGTAGTGCAATGTAAGTAGTACAGCTGTAGTCCTGGGATGCTGTACTTGAACTAAAAGTGAGCCTTCCTCTAATATATCCAAGAAATATCCTTCTGGCCCTGTACAGAACATCCCAGTCCCTGATCACTGGGGGTGGCAATGTAGGAGGATGTTAGCATCTAGCATCAGCAGTTGCTGCTTTTTTCTGGCTGGTCTGAATAACTTGACACTAGAAGGTACCAGAGGAGCTGACAGAGAAGTTCTCTACATTGTGCGCTGGAAGGTTTGTTAGAAGTCAAAGTTTAGGGAAGGATAGAGGATTGGCATTGCTGTGCCAGTACATACAGGGGTAAATAAGATGGCCGGAACAACCAGCACCAGCCTGGCATTAAGGGCATGCAACATAGTGACATTGTTGATAGAGAGTTCCACTGGCTTTAGTAGTTCCCTTCAGCTGGGTGACTGCTCTTGTCCTTCCTCTCCATGAGAATTATTGATTGATAAACACTTACCCAGCTGTTGTAGGCCTGCAGATATTATTGAGAACAATGAATTGTTACCAGGTGTTGATTTTTTACTGGATCTTGTTATGGGTGTGCTTCTTCTTCCTGTGCCAGTTATTAGTGGTTTGGAAGAAATGTATACTACTCCTGAAAACTATGATAAAGATTGCTAGAATATTCTATAGGGCAGGATGGGCCAGTCATTGGGAAGACGTAAGAACCTGCATGTAAGGAAATTCTGCATTTCACTTCAGTGAAATGCGAGACATGCATATAAAGAACCAAGAACGAAAGTCATTATGTGTGGTGAGGGAATAGGAAGCAGTAATTCTTAAAAAGAGTTATGGTCTGCGTTGGGTGGTCAGATACAGATGGTCTTCTGCCAAGAAGGCTAGTTCTGTCCATGTAAAATCAGTGGAGTGTTGAACAGAAGATGCAGTCTCTGTGTTTAGTCCTACTGCACCTAGTGTTGGTATGACATGTCCAGTTCTAGCATGAGCCCCACAAAAAGGTGTTGGAAAAGTAGGAGAGGGTTCTGAAAAGAACTACAAGAAATGTTGTCTTGTCTTAATCATTCTTACAGCAGCCTGTTTAGGGAGCTCAATATATTTATATATAACTAATTAAAGTGAAGGGGTAACATGATCATAGTAATTAAGTACCTATATGGGAAGTACAAATCTGGTGACAAAGCAGTAGCCAGGCGGTAAGGAGACACTAAAGCCAGATAGATAGTAAAACATATGCACCATAGTGTGTATGTGTGGGGGTTTTTTAAATAGTAACTATTAAAACAATTTTCCAAGAGTTGCTGTAGACTTCTGTCAGGAGTATTTCTTAAATGAAATGAATGTGTTTTTAAAAATAATTTGATCACAGCTGTTGCACTCAAATTAACAAACCAGGGAACTTAAGATGCCAGAGTATATGGTCACAAGGTTACATCAGGTTATTAAACAGAGTGTGAAACTTGCCAAGTGTCATGCAAGCGTGGATTTGTTCATTTGTGCCTGTACCATGCTTGTTAGCTCTTGAGTTACGATCTCGCATCCTTATGCTACAGTGATTTTCAGACTGAGTGTTGCTATATGCCAGATTTTTGGTTGTCCGCGCTGGGTTTCAGCAAGAGGAGGAGTAGTAGAAGAGTGAGATGTGGGATTTCTGGGATGACTCTGAATTTCGCATATCATCTTCTGTGTAGCCAGACATTTGCTCCATATTTGCATACTACTGAGCATTTCTAACTAATACTTTAATTGGCGAAGTTGGTGTATGGACCTCAACCATGAGTTGGGAACTAGGGGACATGAAGGGACCTGCTCTTTTATAAACAGGCTGTCAGGAAATGAAAAAATACTTTACTGTTATCTTAACCATGTGATCTAATGGGTAATTCTATGTTTCTACAAGGAAGAAATTTTTTACAGTGAGGGTGGTGAAACACTGGAATGGGTTGCCCAGAGAGGTAGTGGAGGCCCCATCCCTGGAAACATTGAGGGTCAGGTTGGACGGGGCTCTGAGCAACATGGCCTGTTTAGGGGGTTGGGCTAGATGACCTTTAAAGCATTCTGTGATTCTGTGATAAAGATTGTTATAGGTATGATATATACCCATTCATTTTTACAATTAATAGCTGTTCAGAGAAACTGAGTGAAAGGAACTTAACAGATTGCAGACAGGATCTCAGATCTCTAACTGGTGCTCAGCCTATTAATATCCAGGGTTTCTATAAATTAGGTAAGATTTCTTCCCTTGTTCTCCAGGCTGTCCTGGGTATTTTCAGTCATGAGGTTTTGTAGGAGCAGGAGTCTAGTACAAGAGAAAAAAACCCTTTTATTACTTTATCAGTAGTATTAAACTGTCCAATAAGGGTGACCATTTTACTGTGTGTGCTTTTGGAAAAGCTTTGTTTGTGTCTCTTTTCCAAGGGCTTTCCTGCTTTAGTTAGGCACAGTAATGCAAACGGGAAATAATATCAAACACCTCCATGTTCCATAATTGATTTAGCAGTCTGCATAAGTTACTTAAAAAATGCTCAACTATTGTAGCGGTTC